CCCCAAAACCCCAAAACCCCAAAACCCCGAATACGAAATCTCAGATTGGAATTAACAATATGTCTGATAGAGAGAATATTACTCTTGCTGTGTTCGTACTCAAAGATGGGAGGTTTTACAATGGCTCATCAGAGACTGTCTCTATGCCCACATATTTTGATGGGAGTAATAATAAGAGTTACCCAATGATACCCTCAAAGAGTATTTAGAAATACCAGTGATGCTTGTGTTTGATATTTCAGCTGATTTATATTCTCTTGAAGAATTATATTCTTCCTCATTCAAAATATAATGTGGTAAAGTTTTTACTTCTCGAGAATATTGCTTGAGACTCAAAATTTCATGTTTCATCGATTGTTCAAAATGTGAAAATATTCCACAAATCTCAAAAGGTGAGCTGGCTTCTTATCTGGAAGTTCATCTGAGGAAGGAACTTCTATGTCCAGTTAGGCTGTCTCAGTGGTGGAGCTGTATATTTCTTTCAGCTTTATCTGTACTTCAAGTTGCTTCAAACTAAGACCCTCATTTTTCTTTAAATTTGAAATATAGTCAAAATTTCTGGAAGACTAAGAGTCAGACTTGAGGAAATATTTACAAAGCCATATCCGAAAATATGGTAAAAAATTATCTCAAAACAGGTTGTATTTATCAATCTGGTAACGTCCTTAATCATGGGCTTCGGCTAGTTTTGGCCCCATATTTTAATTAGTATTTGAACTAACTTTCTTCTCTGTGAGTACAAGTTCCTAAATAATTCAGCAGCAAGAATTCGGTCAAAAATAGGATGATTCAGTAGAATCTCAGTTTATTGATTCAGAAATAGAAGACTCCTTCACCATTTTGTGGAAAAATACAATTCTGGGAACTTTTAAAGCGAAATTTGACAAATTTTATTAAAAGAAAGAGACTCCCTAGCTGAATACCTCCAATTCTCTTTGTAGAGGTATAAAATCTAACGTCTTAGGACTGTTCAGGCCCATAAAATATTCTTACTTCTCAGCACAAATTTACAGAAACCATTGACACATTTTAATCAGAAATTCAAGAGATGTCTAAAATCACCCAAAAGTGTTTGGATTTAGCCCATAACTTAAAATTTCAAATTTCGACAACAGATTATTTGCATTTTATAACATGAAGAGAACACCTCTGGAAGTGGATAAGGTACGGTAAAAATAGCCAATATATTCGAAAGGACCAGATCCCCCACATTTTCAAATACTCTTATTCCTTAAGGCCAAGCATTGTTATTAGGAAGAATACCGACCGAAGAAATGGATGGGTAATAAACAGCCAGCATTTTTACTATGGCCTCTGAGTTTCTTTATAAATTCAAAAGTCATATGTGGTGAAGCATTGGTGATAACGACCTCTTTAGGTTATAATTTAGTACAATAATGGTTTTGTCGACAAAAACTAGCACAATTCCTTACCTTGTTAGCTTAGAAGCGAAGCCAGAGTCATCACAGGTACATGCCTTTGAATTAATAAAATTTCATAATATATTTTAAAATCTGAATAATAGATTCTTTTTAGCTTTAGCTTAGAAATTACTCTTTGCTTTAAGCTCTAAGACTGATAGATTTTCTCTCTTATAAATTACATAATAATTCACCTAAATCCTCCCTTGCCGACATAACTTTTATGAATCAGCCCTTCCCAATTCCTAAAAATAGGTTTACTCAAAATGGTGTATAGAAAATCTATGCCAACGAAGGCACTCACAAGAGCTTAGTAACGTTTTGGCCTTAATTCTGGCCAAAAATGCGCCTTGAAACACCTCTGGACTTCTTTTCTGAACCCTGACTAGTAAAGCTACCTAGTTCCTTTACAGCATAACCTAAATTCTATTAAAAACTTCATGAATTATTTCGAAATCTTTATACTGAAAATTTCGAATTGTACGAAGGCATGAAGAACTTCATGCCTTAATTTGGAAATCAATGAACTTGGGTTTCATAGGAACGATTTGAGAATGGCAGTGATAGTTTCACTATAACTCTGGCCACCAAAGTAGTATTTTCTAAATAAGCAAAAGAGTCAACCGTTTAATATGAATTTCTGAAAAACAAGTCTTCTGGTATTTTAATTATGAAAAGTTATATATAAGAAAACAGTATAGTCTCATGAGCACACAATCACTTTAGATCTGTAGCATTTTGAGAATCCGGTCGGAAGAGATTCGTCTTAGTAGCTTCTTTTCCTCGGCAGCCAAATCGAAACCTCTCCTTCTGGAGGAAGTTTTGGGATTGTATGTGTTTGGTTTGTAGTTTATAAGTTTTGTCTTTCCTCTTCATGTTACTGACTGCTTCTTAAATCCTTGAGTAATACCTTGATCATTCGGTTTGAGTCACATGATCTTGGGGTTTCTTAAACCCTCAAAATCTTTTTCAAAGTCAGCTTTGTTTGAGCTACCTTTGTTATCCTTCAGTGTATTCTCAAATTGCTTCGTGAAGTGAGGTATTTGAGGAGTACATTCTTCTTCATCGATCTGGTCTGGACAATTCCAGATATCTTCAGAAACTTTATATTCGTTAATATTGGCTAGAGAGTTCATTAGTATTAGTTATTATTGATTAATTCTATTAGTTTTTTATCTAGGGGTTTTGGGGTTTTGGGGTTTTGGGG